AGGTCAATAGCCCATCCCCCGATGCTGCAATCGACATCTGATCCCGCGGCGGCACACCAAATGAAATGAAATGAAACCACCATAAGACAGCCCAGCAGAATCACTCAGCAACCGCACAGGACAAGCACTGCGGAAGGAGTGAGAGGTCCGTGGGGCGTGGCCCGGCGGAGAAGCTCTCACTGTCACCCTCAAATCTCCCAGAGCACTAGCCGGCGGTCCTCTGCTCGTGGCAGAGAAACCGGGATGGGTAGTGACAGAAGGGTCTACTCCTTTCCCTTTAAGAACAGAGAGACGCGATCGCAGCGTTGTCATGGTCATGCACTCGCAGTGCGGGCATGAACCATCCACGAATGCGTCTTCAGCGTGCTGAATGTCCAAACACGGCAGACAACGCTTGTGGCCATTGTCAGAGGACAGGAAACGACTGCAACCAAGAGGATACGGACAAAACAGTGTCTTTAAAAAGACACGAATCGTCCGTCAGGAAACGACCGCATCCAGAGACACGGACGAAACGGCGTCTTTAAGAAGACGCGAATCGTCCGTGATTTGCTCTTTTAGGAAATCTGCCCTTTTAGTTGAAGCGCCCAAGGGAATCGCTGAAAGGGACACCAGTTTGCGCCGTACCGCCAACCAGAACAGCTTCCCGACACACAGCAGATTAATGACTTTGTGGAGTATAACAGCTTTTCATACAACCACTCGGCTCCGAAGCAAAAATCGAATGAGTAGATGCACGCTGTCGCCTTATATACCCATGTGCACGGGGAGTGGCTCAGCATGCAAAATCCACAAGCCAATTCTCATTGGCGTTTTTATAATTAAAATTGTTCAGTCATTCAAAATGCATATGCTTACCCAATGTTGGAGTTCTTATATCCGATTGAAGGCGCTCTGAAGATGGAAGTATAAAATGATAAACAGAGTTAAACTGAATGAGTAACAGAGTTTAAAAAGCAACCACCAAACAACCACTGATAACACTTCAGCAACAACATAGCAAAATAAAAAAAATAAATAAAAAAAATAAATAAAAAAAAACACAAATTCCAAGGCAGAACATATATTCATAATTAAAATTGTTCAGTGGTTCGAAATGCATATGCTTACCCAAAGACCGAGTTCTTGTCTCCGATTGATGGCGCTCTGAAGATGTAAGTATAAAATGAGTAACAGAGTTAAACTGAATGAGTAACAAAAAGCAACCACCAAACAATCACTGACAAAATGTAAAATAAATAAATAAATAAATTTTAAAAAAAAACAAATTCCAAGGCAGAGCATATATTCATAATCAAAATTGTTCAGTGGTTCGAAATGCATATGCTTACCCGATGACCGAGTTCTTATATCTAATTGATGGCGCTCTAAAGATGGAAGTATAAAATGAGTAACAGAGTTAAACTGAATGAGTAACAGAGTTTAAAAAGCAACTACCAAATGACCACTTATTACACTTCAGCAGCATAGCAAAATGTAAAACACACACACACAGACACACAAATTCCAAGGCAGAGCATATATTCACAATAAAAATTGTTCAGTGGTTCGAAATGCATATGCTTACCCGATGACCGAGTTCTTATATCTAATTGATGGCCCTCTGAAGATGGAAGCATAAAATGAGTAGCAGAGTTTAACAGAATTTAAAAACTGATTGATGGTATTTCTAAATGTGTGTTTGCTTGTATTTTCTGATTTAAAAAAAAGAAAATCTTACCAATTTCCCTGCGGTTTGCTATTCTACTCGGAACGGGAACTCTTTTTAACCTCAAAAAATCACCAACTATGAATTTAGATAAAAAATAATCATATACATTATATAAGAATTCACAGAAAAATAAATATCACATGAGACAGATACATTCAAAATAAAAATATTTGAGGAACAGCGGAGATGAACACAGTCTTTATAATAAGTCTTTATAATAGACACATT